GTAGATATGATATTTCTACATGGCAAATAATTTACTAGCAGGTATAGTAGAGTAATAGAAATCCAACAGACCCAACAGTCATGACATGCATGCTGCTGATTCTGTGTCATTGAATCACTCATTGAAAGGGGCATGTTCAAAATAATAGCAGTGTGGAGTTCTATTAGTGAGGTCATTCATTCTTTGAAAAACAGGTAGCAATTATTGCCCTTATTTAAGGAAGGAAGGCAGCAAATGTTGTACATGCTGGTTACAGTGCATTTCTCTCTGATATTCTGAGGAAAATGGGTCGTTCCAGACACTGTTCAGAAGAACAGCGTACCTTGATTAAAAAGTTTGATTGGAGAGGGGGGAAAACATATAAAGAAGTGCAGAAAATGATCGGCTGCTCAGCTAAAATGATCACAAATGCTTTAAAATGGCAACCAAAACCTGAAAGTCGTGGAAGAAAGCGAAAAACTACCATTCGAATGGATAGAAGAATAGCCAAAATGGCAAGGACTCAGCCAACAATCAGCTCCAGGAAGATGAAAGAAGGTGTGACGTTCCCTGTGAGGGGACTGTTACAATTAGAAGACGCCTATGTGAAGCCAAGCTATCTGCAAGAAGCCCCCGCAAAGTCCCACTGTTGGAGAAAAGACGTGCTGAAGAGGTTACAATTTGCCAAAGAGCACATTGACTGGTCTAAAGAGAAATGGCGCAACATTTTGTGGACTGATGAAAGTAAGATTGTTCTTTTTGGGTCTAGTGGGCGGAGACAGTTTGTCAGACGACCCCCAAACACTGAATTCAAGCCACAGTACACTGTGAAGACAGTGAAGCATGGTGGTGCAAGCATCATGATATGGGGATGTTTCTCATACTACGGTGTTGGGCCTATTTATCGCATACCAGGGATCATGGATCAGTTTGAATACATCAGAATACTTGAAGAGGTCATGCTGCCTTATGCTGAAGAGGAAATGCCCTTGAAATGGGTGTTCCAACAAGACAACGACCCCAAACACACCAGTAAACGTACAACATCTTGGTTCCAGACCAACAAGATTGACGTTATGGAGTGGCCAGCCCAATCCCCGGATCTTAATCCAATAGAAAACTTGTGGGGTGACATCAAAAATGCCGTTTCTGAGGCAAAACCAAGAAATAGAGAAGAACTGTGGAATGTCGTCCAATCATCCTGGGCTGGAATACCTGTTCACAGGGGTGCCAGAAGTTGGGCGACTCCATGCAACACAGATGTACAGCAGTTCTCAGAAACAGTGCGACTACAACCAAATATTCATGAAGTCATTCAAAGGAAAGCAAAATCTTCAAACATTTTTCAGTTTATATAGTGAATGTTTGAGTTTGTAAAGAAGAATACAAATACTGTGATTTTTTTTTTTTTTAGAGGAGCAACACAAATTTGATCTATTTTTCTTCATGTTTTGATTTGGAATAGAATGTGTCGTGTTCCCAATGCATTTGTGTGGATGGAAATAAAAGCTATTAGAAGGATTTTCAGCTTTATTCACTTTTTTCAACACACTGCTATTATTTTGAACACAACTGTACGAGATGATAAATTTCATGCACTGATTGGACAATATCGACAACATCGTCATGTGCATCTGATGAATGGAACAAAATTTTGTTCCATTTGTTATTCGAATCTGAAATATCGAACAAATTCAAAAACTGAATTAATTTCCCCATGGGGGGGCCGAACTACTATCTCATCACGTGACATCATCTAAATGAAACAAATACATTCGTTAATTTCAATATAAAATTTTTTCAGATTCCTCGATATTCGTTACTATGTACATTTCAAGGTCCGGATCTCTGAAAATGAAATTTTCGTCCAAAAAAAAAACCGAATTGAAATAAAACTCGTGTCTAGTTACCACAAGTAGGGCACAATTGTCTACAGTGTCTTGGTATGATGTAGTATTAGCAGTACCCCTCACTGGAAAAAACAGAACTCCATCATATGTAGGGAGCTTCTGATCATTTTTGGTCATGTAGGTGTGATGGTGAGGTGTCCATAGCCATTTGCTATATAGTTTATCTATCTATCCGAATCAAGAAATGTGACTTCACTATATCTTTTCTGATCGGTTTTGTATTAACTGACCTTTGAACATTTTCCCATGCCTGCCATTGGACTAGCCCTTTAAAGATGCATTGATTGCCAAAATACTTTCTTCTCAATCTTTCACTATCATTTTGCATTCATTATCTAGATTATTCTTTTATGATCCAATGCAATAATGGGATTAAATTGTCTTCAGGTGAATTGAAAACACTGTTGGGAATATTCTTTGTAAACTAATTGGGATATTATCTTGTTACATCCTCAACTGCATAACTAGCATTCTGTGTAACGCGTCGGGCCGTGTGAGGAGCTCGATCGCTGTATGCGCTCTCCACCATCTCCATTATTAATGATTTATAAAGTGCTGCCGTCTCCCGTGGCGTTGTACAGAAGTGATACAAATGTTGCTGAGTCACTCGTAATGCGAACACCTAAAACCAATGAAAAAACATATACTGATTTTGCTTTTGTACCAGCATCTAAAAATTGTCCCTGAGAGAGCAAGACGTGGGGTGGGGGGCTTAATGTTAGGTGTAATTATTTAACATTGTGTGTTAATAGGACAAAATCGATTGTTCTCAGGCTATATTCTCTGCAGGATGAATGTGTGAATGGGGATACAATACGGTTGAGACCGAGCTAGGTACCACATCCTTAAACCTCCAAGATACTAAAAAAAAACTTAATGGACTTTAACAATACCATACTGGAGACACACATTTCATTAAATTTTTTTATATGTTAAATAATTATATTTACAAATGTTAAAATCTGTTTCTCTAGGACTTTTTTTCCTCAGATAATAGGTGCAGGTACTCTGCCCTTCTGAGTCACCCCTTGTCTCCACCCTCTACCCACCTCCGAGCACTGTCCCTTGATTCCACCCCCTACCCACCTCCGACTACTGTCCCTTGATTCCACCCCCTATTCACCTCCGAGCACTGTCCCTTGATTCCACCCCCTACCCACTTCCGAGCACTGTCCCTTGGATTCCACCCCCTACCCACTTCCGACTACTGTCCCTTGATTCCACCCCCTATTCACCTCCGTGCAGTGTCCCTTGATTCCACCCCTTATCCACCTCCGAGCACTGTCCCTTGATTCCACCCCCTATTCACTTCCGAGCACTATCCCTTGATTCCACCCCCTATCCACCTCCGAGCACTGTCCCTTGGTTCCTCCCCCTACCCACCTCCAAGCACTGTCCCTTGGTTCCTCCCCCTACCCACCTCCAAGCACTGTCCCTTGGTTCCTCCCCCTACCCACCTCCAAGCACTGTCCCTTGATTCCACCCCTACCCCCATCCGAGCACTGTCCCTTGGTTCCACCACCTATCCACTTCCGAGCACCGTCCCTTGGTTCGACATTCTACCCACCTCCGAGCACTGTCCCTTGGTTCTACCCTCTACCCACCTCCGAGCACTGTCCCTTGGTTCCACCCCCTATCCACCTTCGAACACTGTCCCTTGGTTCCACCCCCTATCCACCTCCAAGCACTGTCCCTTGGTTCCATCCCCTATCCACCACCAAGCACTGTCCCTTGATTCCACCCTCTATCCACCTTCAGGCACTGTCTCTTTTTTCCACCCCCTACCAACCTCCGAGCACTGTCCCTTGGCTCCATCCCCTATCCACCTCTGAGCACTGTCCCTGGGTCCCACCCCCTACCCACCTCCCAGTACCACACCTTCTAGAGAAAACAAAGCCAAGTATCATTTTATGGTGCTATATATGTTGCATGGAATTTGTTAATTTTAACAAGAAAAGCAGTAAAATAGATCCCCCACAGCAAGCAACAATAGACCCTCCAGCAACAATAGATTCCTCCCAGCAACAATAGATCCCCACAACAAAATACCCACCAGTAATAATAGAGCCCCCACAAAAATACCCCACAACAACAATAGATCCACTCCAGCAACAGTAGACCCTCCCGGAATAATTTGATCCCTGTAACAAGATACACCCAAGCAATAATAGATCCACCCCAGCAACAATAGACTCCCACAAAAAAATACCCCCCCAGCAACAAGAGACCTCCCACAACCCTCCCCTTTCCCAGCAACAATAGATCCACCCAGTAACAACAGATCTCCCAGCAGCTAGCATTAATAGACCCTCAGCAGTGAGCAACAATAGACCCTCATCTCAGTTGAAGGACAGAAGAGATGGGTGTGCTCCAGGTGCCTGCGCCCAACGCTCCAGCCCTGCCTGATGCCTAAGCCATAGTCATGAGCAGAGGTATCCGGTGATAGCAGCGTGCTGCCTACATGCTGGTTATACAAGGATTTTGTATGTGAGAGCATTACTTTTACTTTGCTACATTAAAGAAGATTGCGACACCATGCTGGTGCGCTCTTTTCTCTTGCTCTCTTCCTTTGTGTAGTCTAAGAGTTCTCTTCTCTGTAAATATAGATCTGTGAGGCTGAATTTTTAATGGACTAAGAGACGGTCTTTGTGTACACAAATGCTGGTATTTTTCCTTGGCATGGAATGAATGGGATTGTATCAAACAACGCCGTGTTACACTGAATACAGCTACTTTGCCGACATTGTTGCGATTATTTTACAGCTTGGTGTGCACATCGCATTCAGTTGGACACAGAAGCTAGGCTCTTCCTGGAATCGGGGCACCTAGGGTTCCTCCAGAGTTTGCTAGGGGTTCCTTGAGCAGTGGCAGAATAAACGCCAACCCGATGGTGCCTGCATAGTTATGGCATCAATGCCACTTTGAAGAGCCAAGCATGGAATGCGTGGAACTTCTTTACTCTTTTCTCAGGTAAGTACCCACTGACACCAGCGATCGTTTTAACAATCTATACAGGGGAATTCTTCCCATTGATCAACAGTGTGAGAAGCATTCTACCTGCTGATCGCAAGTGTGAGGAACATTTTTCCCCACTGACTACCAATATAAGAAGCATGCTTCCATTAACCACCAATGTAAGGAGCATTCTTTTCGTTGATCATCAATGTAAGGAGCTTTTGCCCCCCTTGCCGACCACCAGTGTAAAGAGCATTCCCCCCAACCCCCCGACCACCAGTGTAAGGAGTATTCTCCCCACTGGCCACCAATGTAAGGAGCATTCTTCCCACTGACCACCAATGTATGGGGTATTTTTCCCACCAATGTAAGGAGCATTCTCACCACTGGCCACCAGTGTAAGGAGCATTCTTCCCACTGACCACCACTGTATGGGGTATTCTCCCCACTGCCCACCAATGTATGGGGTATTCTTCCCACTGCCCACCAATGTAAGGAGTATTCTCACCACTGACCACCACTGTATGGGGTATTCTCCCCACTGCACACCAATGTATGGGGTGTTCTTCCCACTGCCCACCAATGTAAGGAGTATTCTCACCACTGGCCACCCTTGTATGGGGTATTCTCCCCACTGGCCACCAAGGTAAGAGTCAATCTTCCCACTGGTCACCAGTGTAAGAATTTTTTTCCACTGACTAGCAATGTAAGGAGCATTCGTCCTACTGACCACTAACGCAAGGTGACTTTCTTCCACTGACCATCAATATGGTGTGGCTAAGGTACCAAGGTTTGCATATGAATTCCTTTTACGCAAGGGTTCCCCAAAACCTGAATGTTTTAAGGGTTCCTCAATGGTACAAAGGTTGAAAAAAGACTATCGTAGATCCTATTCTCTGAAAAATAGTAACCCTTTCTGTTGAGGCCCCTTAAAGTCGTCAGGGCCTCCTTAGGGCTCCATGGTGTGTTTCTATGGTGTCCCTGTATTTTAGGGTGTTGCTGTAGGTTCCCTACTTTTGTCCTGTAGAACACAGGTGAGTTCACCCACCCAACTGGATGTGTATGTGCTTCTTTGGCTGTGCTGGGGATTTTCAGGATCCTCGGGAGTGGGGCTTGGTGTGATTAGTATTTGTAGTCTTTAATAAAATGTGGAAATGATGCCATCCATGAATTATCCCTTACTGGGAATTTAGTCTTTGTACTCTATAGCAGGCTGCAGAATATTTTGACTCTGTACCCAGGTGGGATTTTTTCTGCCAGAGATCTGGTAAACCCAAACCTGCTTTCTGCCTTGCAAGTCAGATTCCTGCCACAAATCTTTGCCAAGAAGTAAACTAGTACAGGGGTCCCTCAGTCTTTCTTACTGGTCTCCTTCTATATCCCACACTGTATTGCGGAGTATAGGGCTACTGTCCACCCTTGCTGACCAGAATCGGTAGGTCCATTGCAGGTCAGTGACTCTGAAAGTATTGATGCCATTGGATCAGTATGCAGGGCTGTAAGTGGAGAATGGCATGCCGGGAGACTTCTTGGTTATCCTAACAAGGTCACAGAAGTCTTCAATGTTGCCGGATATGTTCTACAGCAAAGCATTCTTTCATCCATAGCGCCTCATCCCTAGGCCAACTCAACCCTCCAACAATTTTTCCTACAGTGAAGCTGCATCAGATTCCTCTGCCAGGAACTTTCCCTTTTTATTTGCAGACTAATGCTGCCAACCAGATGCAATCAATTTGCATTACCGGGCAGCTACTAAAAAAGCAGTCCCACGTAGGTGGCAGCAAAATCTATACGTATTTGTGTTTACAAAAGAAAAAAAAAGGCAAAAAACAGCATCTGCTCGATTATACATTTTCCCCAATGAAGTTGCACTCCAGCCAAAGGCTGCCAATACAACGCTGGCAACGAGGGAACTTCCCGCCAGTTTATTCCCATTCTGTAAAGAAGAGAGATCAGAAGACGTTTAGAGTGAGCAGTTGGATTTGAAGCAGTTGGTGTGATGGTATTTGTACTTTTGTGACCTCCAAGCAACTCACATATGCTCTTTGGTAGAGTTTGCTCAACAACTTGACATAGTTGCAATGAAACGAACTAGGAAAAAAAAAAAAAGAAAATATTAATAAAAAAAAAAAAAAAACGAAATTAATAATATATAAAAAATAATGAAAATATAAAATGTATATAACTATTAACAAAAATGAATATAATATTATAATTTAATTGAAATAATAATATAAATCTGACTAATAAAATAATGAAAATAAATAATAATAATAACAAATGAATATAATAATTATTATTCCAAATGTCAAAATATGACTAATAAAAAGAATAAATATAAATAATAACAAAAAATAAATATCATTTCTAATAATTTAAATATAACTAGTAATAATTTATATAAATAATTATTATTTATTATTATTATTTATTATTATTATTTTAAAGTTTATTTAGCAATTTAATTTAGTATTAATTTATATAAATAATAAAAAGTGAATATAGTAATATTAAATCTAAATAATATAAATATGGCTACATAATTTATAGAAATATAAAAAAAAAAAGAAATTATTATAATAATAAAAAATAATATTTATTTATATTTAAACATATTTAGTATTTTTAAGTGCACTCCTGAGCAGGGTGTCTGAGGGCAGATGAGAAGCTTCTGGGAAAAACAGTACAAGACTGGCAGATATACATACAACAAGCAAATTGCTACCTACTTCCTTGAAAATAAGCAAGTCTGTATACAATGGAAATATGCTAAAAGGTTACAGAACTTCGATTATAGAGGCTTCACAATCTCCATGTTACAAATGTTATAAATTGATTTGCAGTTCTGTGAATAAAATAAGTATTTGATCCCCAAGCAAAACATGACTCGGTACTTAGTGGAGAAACCCTTGTTAGCAAGCACAGAGGTAAGATGTTTATTTTAGTTGGTTCCCAGGTTTGCACAAATCTCAGGAGGGATTTTGGTCCACTCTTCTTTACAGTTCTTCTCTAAATCCTTAATGTTTGATGGCTGTTGCTTGGCAACTCGAAGTCTCAGCTCCCTCCATAAATTTTCTATAGGATTAAGGTCTGGAGACTAGCAAGGCCACTCCATGACGGTAATGTGCTTCTTCTTGAGCCACTTCTTTGTTGCTTTGGCGGTATGTTTTGGGTCATTGTCATGCTGGAAGGCCTATCCACAACCCATCTTCAGTGTTCTGGCTGAGGGAAGAAGGTTCTCATCCAAGATTTTACAATACATGGCCCCGTCCATTGGGCCCTCAATGAGGCAAAGTCGGTCTGTATCTTTAGCAGAGAAACAGCCCCAAACCATAATGTTTCCACCTCTGTGCTTGACTGTTGGGATGGTGTTTTTAGGGTCATAGTCAGCATTTTTCTACCTCCAAACACTGCGAGTAGAGTTAATGCCAAAAGCTCAATTTTGATCTCATCTGACCACAACACTTTCTCCGAGTCCTTCTCTGAGTCATTTAGATGTTCATTTTAAAAGTTCAGGTGGGCCTGTACATGTGCCTTCTCGAGGAGGGGGACCTTGCGGGTGCTGCAGGATTTAAATATGGTGATGTATTGTGTTACCAATGGTTTGTTTGGTGACTATGGTCCCAACTGCCTTGAGATCATTCATAAGCTCCTCCCATGAAGTTCTGGGCTGATCCGTCCCTTTTCTCATGATCATCCTTACCCCATGAGGTGAAATCTTGCATGGAGCTCCAGACCGAGGGCGATTGATGGTTATTTTGTATTTCTTCCATTTGCGATTAATCACTCCACCAGTTGTCTCCTTCTCACCAAGCTTCTTGCTGATGGTCTTGTAGCCCATTCCAGCCTTGTGCAGGTCTACCATCTTGTCCCTGACGTCCTTTGACAGCTCTTTGGTCTTGGCCATGGTAGTGCCCAAGAAAATTGTGAGATTCTGTGGACAGGTGTCTTTTATACACTTAGCGAATTGTCATTAGGAGAACCTTCTTAAATGGAGAGGACTAATCTGTGTATCACATGAGCACATAGCCAGTCTGTGGGAGCCAGAATCATTGTTGGTTGGTAGGGGATCAAATACTTATTGTACTCACTGAACTGTAACTCAATTTGTAACATTTGTATAATTTTTTTCTTTCTGGATTTCTGGTTGATATTCCGTCTCTATCACTTAAAATACACCTATGATAAAAATTATAGACCCTTCATCTCTTTGTAAGTGGGCAAACTTACAAAATCTGCAGGGGATCAAATAATTATTTTCCCTACTGTGTGTGTAATATATATATATATATATATATTATGAGTTGTGTTCAAAATAATAGCAGTGTGTTGAAAAAAGTGAATAAAGCTCAAAATCCTTCTAATAGCTTTTATTTCCATCCACACAAATGTATTGGGAACACGACACATTCTATTCCAAAGATGAAGAAAAATATATCAAATTTGTGTTGTTCCTCTAAAAAAATTTAAGAAAAGTGAATATTAGATGGTTCAAAAAAATCGCAGTGTTTGTATTCTTCTTTACAAACTCAAACATTCACTATATAAACTGAGAAATGTTTGAAGATTTTGCTTTCCTTTGAATGACTTCATGAATATTTGGTTGTAGTCGCACTGTTTCTGAGAACTGCTGTACATCTGTGTTGCATGGAGTCACCCAACTTCTGGCCCCTGTGATCAGGTATTCCAGCCAGGATGATTGGACTACATCCCACAGTTCTTCTCTATTTCTTGGTTTTTCCTCAGAAACTGCATTTTTGATGTCACCCCACAAGTTTTCTATTGGATTAAGATCCGGGGATTGGGCTGGCCACTCCATAATGTCCATCTTGTTGGTCTGGAACCAAGATGTTGCGCGTTTACTGGTGTGTTTGGGGTGGTTGTCTTGTTGGAACACCCATTTCAAGGGCATTTCCTCTTCAGCATAAGGCAGCATGACCTCTTCAAGTGTTCTGATGTATTCAAACTGATCCATGATCCCTGGTATGCGATAAATAGGCCCAACACCGTAGTATGAGAAACATCCCCATATCATGATGCTTGCACCACCATGCTTCACGGTCTTCACAGTGTACTGTGGCTTGAATTCAGTGTTTGGGAGTCGTCTGACAAACTGTCTCCGGCCACTAGACCCAAAAAGAACAATCTTACTTTCATCAGTCCACAAAATGTTGCGCCATTTCTCTTTAGGCCAGTCAATGTGCTCTTTGGCAAAGTGTAACCTCTTCAGCACACGTCTTTTTTCCAACAGTGGGACTTTGCGGGGGCTTCTTGCAGATAGCTTGGCTTCACATAGGCGTCTTCTAATTGTAACAGTCCTCACAGGGAACGTCACACCTTCTTTCATCTTCCTGGAGCTGATTGTTGGCTGAGTCAGCGCCATTTTGGTTATTCTTCTATCCATTCGAATGGTAGTTTTTTTTCGCTTTCTTCCACATCTTTCAGGTTTTGGTTGCCATTTTAAAGCATTTGCGATCATTTTAGCTGAGCAGCCTATCATTTTCTGCACTTCTT